GGGGGGGGGAGTGAATCACAAGTTGTGTTAATATGAAGTAAAGACATGATACGGAGGATTGATGTTAACATACATGTTTCTCTCCTCTTCTGACGAGAGGTTAATGTATCTCCCATAGATGTACTTCAGCTCCTGAAAGACAAATAATAAACATTAGCAGCAAAAATGATTAGGATTTTATTTATTTTTTTGTGATGCATCATTACAAAATTGAATAAATATTAACCCAAAATGTTGATGACACATTTGCTTCGCACTTAATTGAGTCTCTCTGCGAACTAGAAGGCAACAAAGTAGCTTATTGGATAAATCAGCTCGACACAGCGTGGAGGTTAACGATGGAGGTTAAGGCAGCCTGACCTTCAGGTGAGCCCAGAGACGCCCACACAGAGAACACTTTCACTGCCACCTTTTTTCTCACCTTCACCAGGGCCGTTACTCACAGCTGTGAGCTACGGCTAAGAAGGCATGCGAATTACCTTAACAGCTTCCGTATCAAATGTAAGGAAAGAAATATCACCATTTTCCCAGGAAGCATAGGGTCAAACAGTGGTAATGTATGACATCATCCTGAAATAATGCATTGCAAGAACACCTTTTATGAGGTAGTGGCACCTGTTATTTGTAGCCCCACCAACTATCACTGCTTGGCATCATCACTAGGATTAGAAAAGTAAAGCTTTGCTAGAAAAACACCCACAACCCGATTTCTGCACATCAGTCCATGGATGCTTTATGCAATAGCATAGTTATCATCAGGCTTCTAAAACAAGACATTTTTAAAGATAACTGATGCTATGCCAATTTAATATATAGGACGATGATCCCAGACTCTCATGAAACAACTCCAGTGAACCAAACAACTGCATAAAAGTGGATCAAAGAGCTAAAATTGGACCTACCTTCTCTTCCACTTGCTTTGCAATGTTCTTCACGTATAGTCTGCAGGTTGGCTCGCCAGGTTCATAATTTTTAAACACAGACATCCTTTTTATCTCTGTTTTAAAAGAGAGAAGGAGGGGGTGCCTTGATGCAAGGTGAATTTCAAAAAAACAGGTACAAAGGATCACAGGGCTGCCTATACCAAAAAAATTTAAATAAATTCAAAGTCGTTGCAACTCAATACTATCCGCTCAATGTTTTATTTAAGACAGGATGGAGAAAGAACTCGGCTTAGACGCTCCATGACTTTAATGATTACATGTATGAACTTGTTTTTCAGTGTAATTGGGCATATCGTGCGTTAGCTGGTGTACACGTGCTTCTAAAAACACGGCGTCAGAGAACGTAAGACTTAAAGTATTGGTTGGATAGCCCAACTATTTAATAAAGATCAACCTTTCTCTCAAATTTGCTCTCATTCCAGGGAGAAACAAAACAAGTTGTCTAAAATGGTTTAAATATACATGAAAATGTGCATTTTTCCACATTTAAACCTATGTAAATGGCCAGCAGAGCCAGAGGAATGTCAGTGTTTATTTGGAGGTGTGTTTTCACCTATTCAACTAAACTAAACAGCTAACCTGCCCTGCAAAGCCGAGTAGACCTGTAAATGATAATTCTGTCTGTGAGTCACTGGATAAATTGTAAATAATTACGATAACAGAATCTTAAAATCACAACCTCATTATAGAAAATGACTTGTAATCATCATCATCTTCCCTACAACCCTGCTAATGTCAGTAATGTTGATCATTTTTGGCCTTCCTGAGTAATGGAAGTTTCAAAGTTTTATATAACAAACACCAACAGCTAGATAGACAAAAGCACTGGGCCACCTACCAGATCAGTCTTTGAGCTGATGTCTTATGAGTCAGCAGAGCGTTGGTGACTTTTAGCCACTATACGCCTCAGCACTCAGAGCCACCGTTCTGTAAATTTATGTGGCTGCCACTTTGTTGCCGACACGCTGTGGTTCCTAACTGCTTCCACTTTGCAATAATACCACTTACAGCTGATTGTAGAGTATCTAGGAAGGAACTGATCGTCGGCAACAAGTATTACAGTCAAGCTACTTTCGGCTGCTCGCTTGTCACGAGGGGCTGCCGCAGTAGGAAGCTCTGCATGTTTGATTTGGCAGCTTTACGGCAGACGCTCTTCCCAACGCAACCCACAAAGGGGCTGGAATTACCACCAGAACAAAAACTCTGGCTGGAATTGAACCAGTGACCTTTTGCCTGCCAAGCAAACATGTGAACCACTAAAAGTAGACTGCACGGCTAGGTTGTTGATTCTACACAGGGAGAACGATGTTACTTTACTCCCTTATCTCGTCTTAAAATGTTTCAGATTAACAATGTGCTGACGCTGAATGCTTTGATATTTTGCACTCAAAAAAAAGGTGAGTGTAATATTAGATGGTCACAGTCAGTAGAAGCTCATTAGAGGCAGGGTTTTGCAATGCCAAAAGAAAATTCTCTTCCATATTTACCACCAGCTCCTGTTTCTGTGAAGGATTTCTTTCAAGGCAGATTTTCCACAATTTGCACTTTTTTGTTTTAGCCATGATGCCTCTCAGCTAACTGGCAGTTTACGCTAATATGCATTTCAAAGTATCTACCGCTTCTACTCTACTCGCATCTAAACAAAGGAGGGAATCAGAATATATTACAGCTCCTTGAAATGGAAAGCAAGGACTTCTGGAAACTGACACGGCAGCTGATGCACAATAAACTGGACCAACAGAACAACAGTTCCATGAAAAAGTGACTACTGTAGTCACATAGCTAACCTATGTTAGCATTTTTGGATCGTTTCTTACAGATTGATTAATCTGGTAAGTATGAAAATGATGTGACTCAGATCCTATGGCCTTTGCAGTGACTAGATCACACCCTGCATCACATTATGCATTTTATCCTTACAAAGACTTTGAATCGATGACACGCTGATAGCACGAGGTGGCCCAACCCCTTTACTAAGAGACTTTATGTTGCCTTTTCCTTTAATCTGTCACATTTCTGTGCGTTACATTTACCATCTCTTGACAGCCGTCCTTTCTCCAGCTCCTTCCTCGAGATGACATCTGAGACGAGATCCTGCTCGTTGTCGCTGCGCTCCTCCTGCTGCTTTGATGCCTGCGTGCTGAAGTAAAGCTTCCCAAAACCTTTAGCCTCTGCTTCCTCCCGATTGCTGCTGGACTTGATCTCGCTCTGATCCACTTGAATGGACGATGCTAAGGGAGAAAAGTGTAAGCGTGCTAAAACCTGTGTATCACATTGTTACATTAATTATGCACGGATTTCTCATGTGCCACTAAGTTAGATCTGCTCAACCGCTTTATGGTATCAAAAACAGGAGGATGACACTCTCCCTCTAGCACAGTTGAGGTTTTCAAAGTGTTTACCAGTAGCAGATGGTGAAATAATCACTTCCAAAATGTTTATCCTCTTCAGTAAACAACACCAGCTCTGGATGGGGATGGGAGGGTGGAAGCAAATCCTCTTGGTCACAATTAGTTTAACATATTGATATTTAAATTTCTCACTGTGGCATCAGTATAATCCGAGTTGGAAATAATGATTTCTTTATCTGGATTAATACAACAGGGTTTCATACGGCAAAGAAATAATGAAAAAGGTGAAAGGTTAAACTTGGTGGCGCTGACTACTGGAAGACGAGCAAACATAAGCACATTCAGTCTCTGTGAAATAAAGAACTGTAATCAAAATTCCCTCCTGTTTTGCAAACATGAGTTTGAAAGGCGGTGGAAGGATAACTCTTTTGAGGAGCACATGAATGAATGCACACACACACACACACACACACACACTCACATGTTGTAGATGGAATTACTAAGAGCAGTGAGCCTCTACAAATCCGAGGAGGGTGGGGGGAGTTGTCACCCACGCAAGGTGTATGTGTGTGTGCACTGGAGCAAGCAGCGTTGGGGAGCTTTTCTGATACACTCTCTGCAGAGAACTAGATCGCTGCTTTCAAAATTATCCTCCTCCTTATCTACCCCCACCTCCCCTTTTCATTTAAATAGCTTGTTTATCGGATCCCACACCTCCACTTCCCCAAAACAAGACTAATCCAAAAAGCCACCTGTCATAGTTTATCTTTCCCCTGCCTTTAGGAAATCTTTTGTGTTTGACTTTGAGATCTATTTTACTTCGCAGGGACTTGCCAGAGAGTGAAGTTGTAGCTAGAGAGCAGGGAGATAAGGCAAACAGGGAACTGCACAGCTGACAAGTAACACAGACTGTGCCCTCAATGACATTTGCTCATACAGATAATAGTTAAACCTTTTTGGTGGCAGTTTCTGCCGTGATATACTGCTGTGTAACACTTGGCTGCGACTTCGTCCATGGTGCGGGCTTTAACTTATGTCAATAGGAACATCAAAACACCTCCTGCATCAATGTGATAATAAACATGATGTATAGTAATAACTAAATCCCTACACTGCCTCTGCTGCACAGAAGGACATAAGCAAACCCATCTTTAAACTTTTGCGATGTATTTGGAGACTGCAGCATTGGTCTGATTTATCTTAACGGTAACTATAAAAGTAGCTTTTTGCATGTCTTAATACAACTTAGCCTTTGTTTCTCACATGCTAGAGATTTAACAATTTTCCACATCTGTGGCTCAGTACACATGTGGATTTTTTTTTTTTTTAATAGAGGGGGAAAAAGCAAACTTCGGGTGGGTCATCCACATAAAGAACGTCGGTGAGTTGATCCCTGACTTCTCCAATGTGTGATCATGGTTAACTAGCACAATCAACATTGGAAACTGACTAATTAACATTGCATCATTACATAGTTGTCATGGCGGCCACTTCTCATTTCTTAATGATGTCATATTTTAACACTGCTTATGCTAATATAAAACACGCAGTAAATGGCTGGAGCTTTTCTACTCGACCTAAACACTCAAAGCGCTTTACACAACTTTCATCATTCACCCATTCACTTTTATTCATGCAAGTGCTCTCTGTCGAACATGCACACACATTCATTGCAGCTCTGGGTTAGGATCTTGATCAGGGGTATTTGACGTGCAGACTGGAAGCAGCCTGGGATCGAAGAACCAACCTTCTGATTAGTAGATGACCTGTCCTACCTCCTTCTACAGTTTCTGCTCTTCACCTTTACCACATTTCTACATACTCATAAAGTTTATTAGTAACTCACTGAGAGCTCTACAGCTCTGGCAGCAGGTTGGAAGAAGCAAATTATAGAGATCATATTTTATTGTTGGAAGTATTAAATCCACCTTTAGCAAAGATCTGTATATCCCGATTTGGAATCACACTAAAAGTTAAGCAGGGATTAAAAGTAAAAATAAATAAATATCTTTCTTGTGATAATTAAGCACAAGCATTTGGATTGTACATTAAAATGTAAATAAATTAAAAACAGATAATTTACTGTGTGAAATGATCCTTGTCATTAGGTAATCCTTTAATCATATGTTACATTGATCATCGTCTGTGCCTCAAGCTTTCATGTCTTGTGCATAACTAAACACAAACAAATTACGGTCTTGCAAAGCCACCTGTGGTTGATGGACGACTTCTTCTATCTCAATTTCCTTTTCAAACAGTAACTCTGGCTGAAGTGCATCTTTCCAATGTCATCAGTACAACTTAAATAAGTTGATTAACGAATCAGTCAAGAGAAGGATCAACAATAATTTTGATAACTGGGACAAAAAGTCTCAATTTCATTTTTTGTACCTTTTTTGTTACCATTTCTGTGAAACAGTTATTTTTACCCTTCAACAATGGCAGGCTCCTTTATCTCAGCTCTATTTGTCCTTTTCAAAAATCACACCACAACTGATTAACTACTCTAAACTTCCTCCTGCTTTCCTCTTTATATTACTCGAAACTGAATATCTCTCGATCTTCAGTTTCAGAGGCATCAGCTTGGAAACTGTCATGACTCAACAAAAAAGCTCAATCCAGTAAAACTAGCCAACATAATTGACAGTAGAAATTGTGGGAGGGACGATTACCTTTGCCTTCGTCGTCTTCAGGCTGAGCTGGCCTACTTCCTTCAACAGCAGCCGCTACATCCGGAGCTGAAATGCGGAACTCAATTTTCCTCGGACCGGCGGCGTGGGGCTGCTCAAACACATCCGAGGGCTGCAGAGTCGCAGCACTGAGGACAACAAAGACAATCACTGCTACCCTCAACTGCAATCTCTAAAAATAACCTACAATAAAACTGAGCTCCTGAGCTCCTTACGGTTCAGGATATTTTGTTCTGGTCAACCTGAGATATTTCCCAGTCCACAAACATGTGGCCAGGAGACTGTGTGTTTGTGTATATTTATAGTTTAGTAACAGAGTTTGTGGCCTGTCATTAAGGGAGTGTGTGCGTGTGTGATGCTGAAACAATAAGTCTCCGAGCCGCACGAGGCTGTGTTTATGAGGAAGACTTATTATCTGGAGGTTTTTGTCCTCTCTCTTTAGCTGCCTGTGAATACTGTCCTGAGATGAGCTATGCGTGAGGACTGTGACATGCATGAGTGCCTTTGGTCTACCTCTGAGAGTCTGGCTTGGGAGCATAGAGTAGATCCTTGATCCTGGGCTTCTTTCGTTTTGAAGCTGTTTTTGGTCTCAAGGGTCGCTTGCATGCTTGGTTGACCAGGCCCATCAGACGAACAATCCTGAAATAAACCAAGCATAGGGAATAAGGGGGAAATCGTCCAACTTGGTCCAAAAAAATCTATGAAGCTAGTACTGTAATCACACATTTGCAAATGTATATGGAGAGTTAAATATCTGCTGTAATCAGATTTAGAAATGTATAAAAAAAAAATTCTCTAAATTTATATTCTGATTTGTAAATGTGCAGAAGGATCATTGATTTTCCAGGTCTCTGGAGCTCAGCTGGAGGGCTGGGACATCACTTTGGTGATTATCTTCTACAACACGTCAGTCTAAAATCATCCATAGGTGGTCAACTGGGAGGAGACCTGGTGACCGCAAAGACAATAGTATATGATTCACACTCGTTTTTTTTACTCATCAGCCCATTCAGCGAGTCCTCAGACCCCAACACTGGAGGCACAGCCGTTCTGGAAGATACCACTCCCATCAGGACAGGAATGTGTCATCACACCATAAAGGTGATCACTCAGAGCAACTTCATATCGATTGGCAGTGACCCAAACCATGCCAATATGATTCCACTGACAGCCAGCCAACGCCGTCGATGTAAGGTTCAAAGATTCATATTTGCCCTTTAGATTGTCACCTGCTGCTAAAGTGGAGCAAAGGTCAGACACGAAAATCTTTGCATTTACACAATTTGTGGATCTACACGAGATTTATGCATATTTAGAAAATATGACAGGGAGTGAGATACAGATGTGAAAGTCTCCACACACGTTTGCAACTAATTCTAGTCACTCTTTTCTCTGAAAGATTAATACTGATGAATAATATGTTAATACGCCAGCATGACCGTTAGCTATGATGAGGTGCAAAACTATCTGAAAGCCAGTCTGACTGCATCAAACAGTGTTTGTGCTGCACTCCGTCGTCGCCCCACCTCTCTTTGTCTTCGTCGTCTCCACTCTCATACTCGGATTCTTCCTCGCTGCTCATTTCCATCTCCTCCTCTGGTAAAGGGGGATAATCGGGAGGGAAGGGAGGAGGCATGGGGATGGGTGGAGCAGGAGGCAGGAGTTCAAACTGCGGGAAAGAAAATTACATGGCTTAGCATACAAATGGGAGAAGCGGTGGCTGATTTTGATTTTAAATTAAATACAGATATTTTGAAATTCGACAACAGTCGAAGGAGACGACTTTACAATACTAAAAACAACAATTATTTTTGCAGTTGAGCAACCTGACGACCAGCTTCTAATAACTAAGAAAATATAAGAAAATGAGCGCACAATAGAACCAATGTGTCAGAGGAAAAAAAGGAAACTCCTAGCAGAGCTGGACACAGCATTCCCGGACATTTTGCATGAGAGAGGATCTCTCCCTTCACATCCTATCAATTGTTTCTTTGTCTATGACTTTGACATTTTGAACATTGGAATTTCCTTGAATATTGAGCATCACTGCGCTGCTTCTGAACCACCATGTCAGTTACATACAGTTAAATGTAAAGTTTCTGTTGTATTCTCTGTCTCTGCTGTTTTTGCTGCTTGCATGTGTACAGTATATGAACCCTTTTGTAATCACTAAGGCTGGAAAAGACGAGTGAAAGCCTGACTTTAATAATTAACGGACCCTCTAATAGCAGCAGCTTCCATCAGACCTTGGCTGTAGCTGCTTCTGACACTTCCAAATGGTTTTTGGCATCTTTTTGGACCGTTCCTCTTTACAAAGCTGTTTCAGTCCATCAATATTTCTGGGATGTTTTGATTGAACACCATTCCTCAGGTCACGCCACAGAATCTAAACCGAGTTAAGGTCAGGTCTCTGTCTTGCGAGTTTCATCCTTTTAACCATCCTTCTGTTGATTTACTCGTGTGCTTTTTGTCACTGCCCTGTTGCATCACCCAACCTCCCCTAAACTTCAGGGCATGGACATCTTGCCTGCATTTCTCCTGTAAAATTCATTATTCCTTCAATGATAGAAAAGGAAAGTGTTTTGGGACAGGCGGTTGATTTTCTTTTCTCTTTTCCTATTTTGCAAACCTTTTTTGTGGACTGTAGCGCTTTGGGGTGTCCTTCCATTAACACAATTCTTTCTCAGCGCTTTTCTTACAGAGACATCAAAAAGGATTTCACAAGTTTACCAAGAGATTTCTGCAGGTAGTTTTATGTTACCCTCGGGTTGTTTTTTCACTTCTTGCAGGACTGCACACTGTGTTCTTGTATGATCTTTGCCCACTCCACTTCAGCTAAAGTAGCAACCTGTCCTGAATTTGTCCTATTTGTAGGCACTTTGCAGACTGATGAGCACTCAGGTCTTTAGAACGGCCGTTGCAGCCTTTTCCAGCTTTGGGTATAAAGCCTGCTGTGATTTTGTTGAGGTATGGTTCGTGCCAACCGATCATTTGAGGGAAGAGCTCAATGTGAATATTTACTCATTATTTTTCCCTGTTTGTGTATTATTAGTTTACTCAGACTGTGTCTGAATAAAGTACTCATAAAATACCTCTTATCAGTACTCAGTGTAGAAATACTGATCATACCAAAGGGTTCCTGCATCTGAAAGTGTGACGTGAACACATGAAAGTTCTGATGATTAATAAACAAGCTAACTAGTACATTTGTATATTTATATGTGCATTTTGACAAAAAAGAATATGAACTATGAATGGAGAGAAAGTAGGAATATTTCGGCTGATCTGGGAAAAGAGCTCACGTTTACTGCTCAAACATGTTCTTTTTACATTTAAGAACTTTCAGTCTCCGTATTTGGGAAAGTCAAAAAGTTAAGGAAAGGTAGGGATCTATAGTTCTGCTCATCAACCTAAAGACACACAGCTGAGTGTTACTGCCTTAACAAGCTGTCTAACTCTCAGAAGTACATTTTGTGAAACATCACACCTGCTTCTTTTTTTTTTTTTTAAGCAAAGATCTTCACATTTACACACTTGGAAAGAGCTTTACATTCAGTGATGGTGTACAGAAGCTTACCATGGGTGGTCTGGCTGTGATTGGGCCAAAAGGACATGGCAAATTCATCTTGTTCATCAGATGAAGTACCTGTATAGTTTGAGATACGAGTTTGAGAACAGTGAAAATTCATACCACAGGCTGGGGGGAGAGAGGGCAGGTAATATAAATATATATTGCCGCTCTCAAACAGGCAGCCGGAAACTCAGGCTCCATATGTAAAACAGATTTCCAGGCTTTCGCATACAAATACGAGGATCAAGGTGAGATTGAGGCTCGAGTGAGATGCCTACGATGAGGCAGAGCACTGGGAGAGCTTCTCCGAAACACACTAGCACCACCAAGCCGCTGACACGGGGAACAGCAGCAATTAAAATCCAGGCAGCGCGGCTCCCAGGGAAATGTTAAACCCATAACTCATGCCGCCCACTTATGGTTTATTATTAATACTTGCTTCCCAAATTGAGATTTAAAAGGCAAATGTTTGCTGTTTGATCTTTAAGAGCCTGGATGCAGTTCAAAAACCTCTGGGACACTTATTCCAGAATCATATTCCTATTTTACAATATAAATGTACGGACTCGAAATGCTGTCACATTAGCTTGAGTTTTTTCTTCCCTGCACCAATTCCCACTTACCAAAAATGAACACAGGGACATCATTATTATTATTATGGCCAGCATCTGCGCATCAAGGTAAAATAACAAATAAAACCACACAAAGGAAGCTGTGTTTACTCACTTGAACATAAAACTTTGGCACGCTCATGAGGGCGTGTGTTATATTTGTCAGAATGCCATTAGAGGGTGGTGGATATAAATATTTCAAAGTGGGATTTGATTGAAACTTCAACCTGTAGGAGACAGAGAGAGAGGGGGAAAAAAGAGAGTTAGTTTAAACCTGCAACTCCCTGCCTTAAATACAATAAACCCTTCACTGAAAAACAGTCACGAGAAAAAAAAAAAAAGTATGGAAATTAGCGTGGAAACAACTGACGTTTTGAATACATCTGAAGGAGCAAACACTTGATCCATTTCAAATGAGTGCATACAGATGAAGGTGATGTACAAATTCAGTCATTTTCTCAATTTCTATACACAAAGCAGTCAAACGGGAACGAAGCATGTTCACTTCTATATTTATCTCCTTCACCTTCAAATCTAAAATTGGAATCCAGATTAAAGCACAAGTGATGTGAGTCTGCTCAGGGGAACGACAGGTGGAAACGGTCTGAAGCCAAGAAATCCTAGAAAGGACTAAACCACACTTGGCCGGTGACCAGACAGGAAAACACCCAAACTTTAGGAATAATGTGCTCTGTACTAGCAAATCAAAAACATAGTGTTTTGGGGTTACGCTGTTAGTTTATGGCTTGTAATGCATGTAAAGCCATAAACTTGCAGTCTCTGATTCAACTGTAAAGTCGGCATCACACCAAGGACTGCTTGAAGATCATTTTCGGCCATCTGCTCCAAGAATTAATGCTGAACCAGGGGTGACTTTTGAAGAGGATAATGATCCTAAGAACGGCAGCAAATCCACCAAAAAATGGTTTCGGCATGAGAAACGGAGAGGTAGAGGAGAAGGAACGGTCTCATCAAAGCTCAGATTTAATCCCACTGAAAATGTGGGATTAAATCATGCAAGAAAACCCTCAAACATCCTGAGAATGAATGAATATTGCATATAAATTGGTCAAAAGTTAAAGCAAGATGATGTCAGAGACTGTCAGACAATTATGTAACTCGTCCCTGTTTTGTTTTTTGTTCTTTTTATAAGCACTGTTCAAAGATAATCAAGCGTTTGCTTTCTCAAATACTTTTTATGGGATAAACGTCTTCACATGACTATATGTCAAAACAACAGTCACACATCAGGCAGTGGCCCAGCCAGTGGCCCTACCTCTTGCTAGGAGGCCTATCATTAAGATTAAAAGCACAAGCCATGCCGTGTCGGGAAATAGATTTCTTAAGGTGCCAATCTACACAGCGTGGGACAACAAATTCACCTACACTCAAGACTAATGAGCAAAGACTGAAGGCAGGGGAGAGTTATTTAATTTGCCACTAGAAACAGCAGTTAAAGGTGCGGAGGCCTGGTAAATGGTGCCTTAACAGCACTCCAACTCACCTTTGTCATCATTTGATTTTGTGAATGTAGACTCTGTTGTGTCGCGGCTTGAAGCCACATGTCATCAGCAAGATGTTTTTCCCACAAACATTTCTCCTTTGTTCCAGCGCTCAACCGACACACAACTTCTCCAATTAGAATGAAAGCAAGCTGAAGTTAAGGACTCTTAACCACAGAGCCCAACCGATACTGATATTTAAGGATTTTAAAAAGTCATTCTGAGCTTTTGAACCCCAGTTTTTTGTTTTGCTACATGTAGTCATTTATTTACCCGACTTGACTGGATCAGCTGGTTGTTGTGCTTGTGGTTCCAAACGTGCTTCTTGTGTTTAAAATTGAAAAACAGGGATGTTGCAAAGCGCCCTCTGGTGGGCAAACTATGAAACATCAACACTCATAATAAAGTTGAAGGGTGTTTCTCCCATTTCCGCTTTACTTTTAAAACGTTCTCTTACCGACCATTATAAATGCAGCTAATATTATTGGTCACTAGCAGCAAACAGCTAGTAGCGGTCGCCGATAAAGTCGGACTGTGGTTGCATGCCTCTCCCAGCTCAGTTTTTTCCAGTTTGCATCAATGTGAAATTTGTAAGATGATTAAAATCTCCCCTTCTGCTCTTTAATTATTAATGGCCAGAAAAAAAAATACAAGTTTTGCAACGCATCAGCATATCACAGTGAAGCTGACCTTTGCCCACAAAAATCCAATCAGCTCATCCACGACTTCCATAAAAAAATAAAAAAAATGTAATCCATTGTGGCAACTCAAATACACATCTTGAGCCACAGCTCTCCACAGTAAAATAAATCTATATCATATCCTGGACGTCATCTGATTGAAAGGGTTTAAATATCTGGTTTCAACTCTGTAATCATTACATGCATTATGATGCTAAAGATATTATTAAAATCTTGAAGCTTATTTCACCCGCTGGCATTTGAGTCTGTCTGATTTGCACTCAAACAGACTTTACTTATTATTTCTAAAGAAAACAACGTAAAATTGTTTTCTTAATTATTAGCATATAATTTGCCACAGAACAAATTACAAAAATGTAAATGTGTACAAAATGCAGTTCTAGCCTTTCTGCTTATACAACGATTGAATTAAGAAAATGAGCATAGCTGACCACTATTTTAGAGTCCCTTTTTTTAAAAGCACAGATTAATGTATTTTAAATTCACTTAATATCCCTCAATGTATTATTTAGTCCATAAAAGGAACCAAAGACTAGTGAAAAACACTGAAAAACATCAGCGTTCTCCTTCCGCAATCACATTTTTGCTGTACAGGAGATTTAAAATACGCCGTCATTGGTGAACTCAAGCTCAAAATAACCAGCAAGTGCAGCTAGCAGGACATCTCAATTTGTCCCTAATCCAACCTTTCTACAAGCTCTAACACACCTAAATGCAATATACTCGTCTAACCAGACAACACATTCTCTCAGTTTGTGCAGACTAGTATTAGAATATGGAGCTCTTAAGTCTGCTGTAGCAGCAGCAAGACAAACTGTCAGAAATGGAGTGAAAGGTATCAAAGACCACCTGGTCCCACCAACTGGCAGGACAGACGGCCTGTCAGGCGCTCAGTGGCGGCCTGGCTATCTAATTGGACACAAGGCGTTTGACAGCTCCCAACTACAGCTCTCAGATTCTCATCCAGGTTTACTGTCAGCCAGCCTCCAGGCAGTTTCTGCATAGCCAAACTGGCAACACTCTGACCGCAGTTTGGAGAACATGTGTCACACATGCATATTTAATCGAATAAGACAGAGTTTGGGCAGGTAATGACTCACAAACTCTGGGTAATGGGAGACAGGGCCTGTCAACAAAAGGCAGAATGCGATATAGTGTTTTTGTTTTCTTTTTTTAACCCCACAAAATGGCAAAAAGAACAAAGACTAGAAATCTACAAGGTATCTAATGAATAATGCACTAGAGAATAACATCAGCCAAAAAAATAAAATAAAATAAAATAAAAAACAAAACAAGTGATAAAAATAAAATGTTTTCTTCCCTCATGTCACACCAGCTTCATGATGACATGCTTTCATTCTTACCCGAGACTCGGTGCAACGCCCGTCTCTATGATGGGAATATTTGGCTGTTTGCTCTCCTGCTTCTTCTGCTCTTGTTTGACATTTTCACCACTACAGAAAGGCAGAGGGGAGGTTCAGACCACTACAAGGGATGCAATCATCCGCTGTTAACTGACAGAGACATTAACAGTCCATCAATTTACATAAGAATGAAGGTCTGTGCAGCCCGGGGTTATTCAGACAGCTCACCTTTCTGACACAGGCGGGTCCTTTAGCACTGTTATGTGATCTTGGCCTTTTGCAAACTCCACAATGAGTGTCTGATCAAGAACCTCTAACTGATGGAGTCTGCTTAGAGCCTACAAAAAAACAGATGTTAAGGGGACTGAAAAAGACCGTACAGAACAAAGTGAGAGAAAAACCAGAGGAAGTCTCAAACAAAACTCTTACCCTTGCTGCTGACTTTTCACTCCTAAATGTTGCAAAGGCTGCATGTTTCTGTGGAGATGGACAAATATGTTCAGGCTGCCTGGCAACTCAAATGAATGTCAGGATGTGAGATACAGCTCATGGGATAATCGGTGAGGAGAAACGTACCAAGCGGCCCCTGTTTGAGAAGACTCTGACTGACTCAGCTCCGAAATACTTCAGGAGGTCTTCCTTCTCTTCCTCGCTGAGCTCAGCTGGTAAGTGGTGGACAAGCAGTGTTTTACTGCAGTTTGTTTGGACTGGGTCTTCATTCATTTTGCTGCAGGACAGCAGTAAGAGAAATGGCAGCAAGTTAACCTCACAAACCTCCATCAGTGAGCAGAACTCACCTCCTGTGTCCAGTGATAACCACTACCTAATAAGCAACCTTTCACCTAAAAGAGCAATTTCACAGGCTAACTGGTGGTGCAATGCCTCTGCATACTGTCTGCCCCACTGATGCCTTTGACCGGCCCTATGTTCAATATCTAAATCGTTTAATTTGGTGCCAGTCTTCGCATACAATCATGTATAATAGTCCTGTGACCATACGAGTAGTGAAGATTTAGGTTACACCAGCTACAGCACATCAGTCTGATACTAACGCTGATGTAATAGACTGGATATCTGACACGTGCTTCTAACGGGCTGAGCAAGCCTCTGTTTAACCCCAAGCAATCGAGAACATGTGTGTGACTGCAGGCTGAGGTACTAGGTTTATTTAGGCTCATTTATAGAAAAACGTTGGTATTTATTTAAACAAATGATGCCGAATTTATGAATGAATTGTGGTTATTTTTTAAAACGCTGAAGTGAAGCGATATAGGGCGTGCTGCTTTTTCACTAGCAAAGCCAAGTTTAACATGCCTTTCCTCCAATAGCTGCTCTACTCCACGATGACTAAGTCCTTACCGTAATGTGCCGCTAACGCTGGTGCTACACGGAGCTAACGTTAAGCTAATTTAGCTCAGCCTTTATATGTTCTGGACACATTCCGGAACCGAAGTAAATATTTTAAAACATAAAACAGAGTTCCGAACCGCAATAAACCTTTCTGATCAGAAACTTGCCTCCAAAACCAGCCAGTAAACAAACCCACTTCCGTACTCTCTTCTTCTTATACCATTTGACAGCATCAGGAATGTGCATTAGCGCCACCCTGTGGACTGGAGTATAAAACGTCTAACTTCTTTTTGCGAGTCCCCTTCCTCCGGGACTCTCGTACAGAACACGCATCTATGTAAATATAATTTTAAAAGGTACTAATATGTAATATTTGATAGTAATACATAGCTCACTGAAGCTTCTTTCATCACTTATTTGAAAGCTAAAGCGCTAGTGTTTATTATGAAGGAAATACCGGAAGTAGTTGCTGTAGTCATTCAGTTAGACCACTATAGAACATACACGGTAACAATAAATGGTTAGTTTTGGTCTCATGTTTTATAGATGAACTTAAATTATAGCTGGCATTCTGTATTCCTTGTTCCTCTAGTGCGCATCATTTTAATACTTAAATCAGGGGAGTTAAGACTGGGAGGCAAACCTGAGCAAAGCAGTCGAATTAATAAGCAGATAACGTGTTACAGTAAAGACTGACATGATACCTTATTTCCCACAGAGATGGCTACTTGAAGATGTGTGTTTTTATCGCCCTCTAGTGGTTACAATGAATGACTAAATTCGTCAAGCCAAAGGTGAGAGCACACAGACACTTCCAATGACTACCTCCAAAATACAACGACAAAATCGAGAAAATAAACAAATACGGGAACCTAGCGTGCCTGCTTATTTCTAGGTTTCCTGTGTACCCACACACGTCCAGCAGATACATTACGATTTAAAAAAAAAAAAAAAAAAAGCTTATTTAAGCTTCCTGTACCAAAACAAAATGTTATTTTTTCTTTTTTTAAATTATTAAATCACAATACTTAGATATCGATTCATAGAAATTTGTAACAAAATTGCTGAAAAACAATATTTTTTATGCTAATTGCTCTTTCCCGGTCATGGATTCTATATCATTTAGTATAATCCATGTATAAATGCTATAAAAAAAAAAAATTCAGAGGCACAATAAATTCACAGCTCTATGCAGTGTAATGCGTTAGTGGTGATTTTTCACCAGCAGGTGGCATACTCACTACATCAGACTCTGATTAGTCTGACTGCTCTAAGGTTCAACAGTAACTTCCAGATTAAGCCACAGTTATATTGTATTTTATTATTAAACAAAACAGTGCGATGTGATTAAAGCTGATTAAAGCTAAGCGTGTTTTAATAATACAAAAAAACCTGTCTAATGTAACTGACCATTTTCTAAGAAAAACAAGTTTACAGTGTTCTTGTTTGTTTATATTGTATGAATTCTAATTGTCACAGAGACTCAAGTTAAGATCTGTCCTTCTCCTGTCCAGCCTCGTGAAAACATCCAGGTTCCTATCCCCACCTCTGAGAAAATCTCCCTACACCTCTCGAGGTCCCTCCAAATTCCTGGCCAAATGAGGCCTTTTCTTTGACGAGCGACGCGAGGGCATTCCTCATCAGGGGGACACAATACCCCCTTTCACCGTGGCCTGGCTCTGAAATTTCACAGGTGATGGGAGGAACGGCGGACACTCGATCCTCCCTCCCCTCTCCAGTGTAACACATCAGCCCGAGGAAGCGGGAATGTGGCTGCTGCATGGAGAAAGAGGAAAAATGCGGAGTGTGGAGCACTGACTCAATGTCTGTTGACTGTGCTGAGAGCATTATTTCAGGGACTAAAGATGCAGATCGTTAATAATTTGTGATGAAATCGTGATGTTTGACATATCAGAGGTGGCTCAATCGCACCGTTAATAAAATGCAAGCCCCACCCCACATATGGGTTTTAAGGAAAGAGGTGAAAAGCAGGGCATGGACTACTAAAACTGTAAAAGAGTTTCAGGTAGCGAGAGAGATGAAGATGAAAGGCTGTGGCTGCCTCTGTAAGAAATCTGAGGAAATGACAGAATTAGAAAAAGGCCCCTATCTTTCTCAGTAGGACATTTTAAATGCAGAGAGGCCCCCGTGGGAGATATTGATGCTCCTACTTGTCATTTAGCCAATCCTCTCATCCAGACACACTTACAGCTTTGGGATGCAGAGTAAGATTCTCATTCCAGCCCAAAAGGAAAAAAGCTTAGCAGCCTTTCAGTGATTTATTGGAGAATCAAACAGAGTCATTTGGAGACGTTAAGGCTCAATATAGAAGCAGCATGCTCTTTTTAAGTGAAGGTGTTAAATCTATTATTTTTATTTCCATCACTGCTGCACTGCTTCTCTGTCTCTCTCAGAAAACAAAGTATTACTGTTTGTTTTATTTCCAAAGCTCATTTTGATCGTTTTTATGCCTGCTAACTCGACATGTGTTACTACAGCCAGGAAACTGGTTGGTGGAAGCAGTAGAAAGCAATAACAATCATGGCACATGAGCTGAGTTGATCTGGATAGTATGTCAACTGTATTTCAGTATTTTTAAAAAAAACAATGCAAAAAAGAAAGGGGCCCACTAAAATAACATCCCCTGGAAAAGTGTATGTAAGTACTTCCTGCTGTGCCATCAGTGTGGTATTAAAACATGACGACAAACAACAACAACAAGCCTGTAAATCTCCCAGACTTAATCTGTAGTCTTCTGATTTCCTCTACTTCATGAAATTTCTTGTAGACTTGGCACAAGGTGGGCTCACTCCCCACTCCTGCTGCACAACAACAACGATGCGTTTTGGTCTTTGCACAGAAAAAACTATAAATGCTTTTGTCAGTGCTGAGCAGGACAGGCAGGTGAGGTCTGGTGATGAACGGTGTTGTGGAAATGTTGTTTGACGTGTGATTAAGGCATGAACAAGACCAGAGGCAGGGGCTTTCTATTTGTAATCACTGATATTAAATCCTAAGGAGATATCCTGATTTGGGGAGTTAGCTGAGGCTAAATGAGGCTAATGCAGGATTTGTGGTAGTGCGTTTGTGTAGGTATTTGTCAGAATGACCTTTGCAGATGTACTTTTGAGCAGTCCCCCCGAAACACGGTGAGGGTCAGGTGTAAGGATCGTGACCAAGATGCCCAAACAGGTGTGTGAAACCTCTTGAGATCTGTTAGTCACGTGACAGTGATCCTGGCTTAGAAAGAGACAAGGTGACAGTTTACTGCAAGTTTTTGTTGTTTTTAATACTTTCTTCCTCTTCACTATAAAATAATTCTTTGTATATTCTTCCTTCACTTCATCAGCGGCGGAGCTAAAACACCAACAACAGCAAAAATGTGAAGAAGAGTAGTTTTTGACTCTAAACCCTGGTAACAGTGGTCACAGCATTGGTCTGCAAAGCTGTGTGTAGGCTTTGTAAGGGACCAGCGCACAACCGTGCTGTTCCTGGTACTCAGCTGTGTTGTCAACAGCGGACCGAGAGTTAGGAAGTTCTGGCCTAGAACCAGTTACCAGATTATGGTTAGGTTTGAGGTGTGAAGATCCGGGCCTGTTTGGGCAAAGAATTAGCACTTTTATCCTTATTTGTGGACCAAATATAAAATTTTGAAAAATACGCTAAATTGCTGCTTTACTTAGTCAGATGTTACAATAATAGTTTATAATGCGATATGAAGTGACCTTGCTTAGGTGTATGTGTTGAATTAATTATGTTTTATATTGATGTTAATCTACCAGACACAGTTTCTCTCCTGGCTATTTAAAGTGAAGGCGCAAGGATTTAGGGGAATGCTTGAAATTCTACTTGCCTCTTCAGTATTTCATCTTTTTTTCCCCTGAGTTTGCCCACCAAAATACTTTCCTGCGTGGTTCTACCCACACAAGAAAAATACTGGAAACTACACACACCGACTCCTGTTTGTGAGTTTGAGGGACAACCTGAAAAAACAAAAAAAAGAAAGAACCTTACAGCATTTCAACTGGAAGAGTGATCCAAATAAATTCAAATAAACCTATAAGAAAACGCACGCTTCCTTCATATGTGATGAGTGTTTTTGCCCAGAAATTCAAACTAATTTGGGAGCAAAATAATCTCTTCAGGCTCTGCACCTTCAACAGGGTCCTACAGTCCTCACCAACTCCCCATGACCAGTTTTCCCTGACTGGACACACAAGGATTTAGGCTAATACCCCTTAGACAGTAAACTCAGGTCATGCCCAGCCTCTGACGCTTTAAATGGACTCTTTCATGGTTGGGGGCAATGTACAGGGCAGAAGGGGGCTCTGTGGTGGGATAGTGTGTATTTCCAGAACCCTGCATGGAAACAGCATTGAAGAACTTAGACTCCACTATAACATGCCTCTATTGTGCTTGTACAAATATGTCACATCAGACTTGGGCTGATTGAGACATGTCTGTTTGATTGTTTTTTGAAATTTCCTTTTATGTATTTTATTAAATAGTCTTTGTTACTTTAGTATAGACAGACCTAGTTACCCGTTTCCCAACCCTGTGTTAAAGTATTCTAACTGACTGTCTGCTCTGGCTTCACAATGAAGATGTGACAGATAACTTAACATATTTGCCCAAACGTCAAACTATTCCTTTCACAGTCAGTGCACCTAGCTTTCATTTTGCTAGTTGCATGCAGAGCAGGCAGCTGAATCCCTTCCTCTTCCTGTCTGTCTGTTTGAAACTTTGCATGTGTGTGTTTGACAAAGGCCATCTCTCGGATTGGTGTGGAATGCAAGCACACAGTCTTCGCTCGCCTCTCTCTTAGAGCAGCAATCTTTCGCTCCGGTCATTCATGGTTATAGAAGTGCAGAAGCCACAGTAAATATTCAAACAACAAACATTCACTATTTATATATTTGTGCATTGTAAGTCGTGACTTTCACAGAGGCACCTGCCAGTAATTAGGACTGATTGTTACTAGAATTTAACTATTGTGTGAAATGGTAATCGCTGAAATAAAGAAATAGCAATTTATTATTGCCTGTTAGTCAATACACATTAAACAGACTTCCATGGGACTAAACAGACCTCACGATTCAACAGCTTGTAGAACAACGCTTAACAGTGATATTTATTGCATGTTATCAGTCTCTCACATTGTTGTGGAGGAATTTGGCCACCTGCTCTTTACGGCGTT